GAACACACGGGCTCAGGCAATCCACTCACCTCAGCCTACCAAAGGCGCAGGATTACAGGCTGAGCCACAGAGCTCGGCTCTTCCCTCTTTTTAAAAAACTTTTAGGCCGGGCACAGTGGCTCACACATGTAATCCCAGCACTACGGGAGGCCAATGCAAGAGGATTGTTTACACTCAGGAGCTGAAGACTAGCCTGGGCAACACAGCAAGACCTTGTCTACATGTGAATATATAAATCTCTCTCTATAAAAATTAAAAGTAAAAATAAAACATATTTTTAAGTTTTTCACTTGTTTCAGAGACAGGGTCTCACTATGCTGCCTAGGCTAACCTTGAACCCCTGGGCTCAAGCAATCCTCCTGCCTTGACCTCCTGAGTAGCTGGGACTACAGGTTATGCCACTGCACCCAGCTTTCTCCCTTTTAAACTACAATTGATACCCAAAATAAAGTCAAATAAAACATACACACAGCAGGGCACAGTAGCGTGCACCTGTAATCCCAGCTCTTTGGGAGGCGAGAGGATCGCCTGAGTCCAAGGGTTTGAGACCCGCCTGAGCAACTTGGCAAGACCTCGTCTTTATAATAAATTGAAAACTTAGCTGGGCATGGTTGCACGTGCCTGTGGTTCAAGCTATTTGGATGAGGTAGAAGGATTGCCTGAGCCCAGCAAGTCGAGGCTACGGTGGCCATGAGTGTGCCACTGCACTCCAGCCTGGGCAAAAGAGTGAGACTTCAGCTTAAAAAACAATACATATACATACACACAAAACAAAAAGTGGCCTAACTTTAAGCACAGGAATACAGGACAGACCAGCTTCTACGGACCCATTCTATAGGCTGTAGGAGTTACTATTGGGGAATGATTCAGGTCTCAAAAAAGGAAAGCCTTTACTGAAATTAATATGAAGTACAGGAAGGAAGGCAAAGAGACCACATCTAGCTACAGAGGCATGTTGCTTTGAGGAGGAAGCATTTTCCTTCACTTGGTATCTCTCTTCACTTTAATCTCCTCTCCAGCTTCCAAACAAAAAAGTAAATAAAAGTAATGAAGTTGGAGTCTCAGAATGAAAGCCCTACCATCCAGAGAAAATATGGCAGCTGACCCCTACTGTCAGTGATGAGCTGGTAAATGTTTCACAACTGATTCTCCAAAGGAAAGCAAGGGGAAGAGCCCTGATTTATAGCATTTGCTGACCTCTGTGGCTTAAATATTCCCACCATGGCTGACTTCAAGTTAACAACATCATATCACCGTTCAGGGAGCTGGGGAGAGATGTGCAGTAACACACCGACACACCTTCAAAAGTATTTCCACTATACGGACACAGCAGACGTAAGTAACCTTGAGAGCACAAACACTAGTAAAACATAAGAAAATAATTAAGGAGTGATAAAGTTTTGAGTATATATTACACTCACTTTTAATATAACATATTTAATGATAAATTTATACAATTTAATTTTAAGTATTGAGCACAGTAGCTCACGCCTATAATCCCAGCACTTTGGGAGACCGAGGTGAGAGGATTGCCTGAGCCCAGGGGTTCAAGACCAGCCCAGGAAACTTGGTGAGACCTCATCTCTCCAAGAAATCAAAAAATTAGCTGGGTATGATGGTGCATGCCTGAAGGTCCAGCTACTTGGAAGGCCGAGGTGGAAGGATCACCTAAGCCCAGCAGGTAGAGGCTGCGGTAGCCATGAGCATGCCACTGTACTCCAGTCTGGGTGACAGAGTGAGACTCCAACTAAAAAAAAAAAAAAAAAAAAAAAGAACTTTAAATAATGGCTGTGTCTGACAACCTGCTTGTAAATTCCTGAACATCTGACAACTGGCTCATGTAAGCTGGTACAAGGCAGCTCCAGGCTCACCTGATGACGTGATTAATGATGATAGGTTCTGGTGGCATAAGCAAGGCATGCAGCCGTTGAGGGATTTCTGAAAACTTCATACGTTGAGATTCAAAGATCTGTGGGAAAGAAGAGAAGCAGCTGGAAGTTGGCATTTTGAGTACAACCAATGCTCTATTGGAATCTAGCAAAAGAAAGGGTACTTTACTTACCTGCTGGAGGTACTTGTCACAGATAACAAATTCCCGCTCATGAGGGTCCTGGAGCTTATGTGTTTTAATATATTGCCACAGTGCTTGGATGATCACTGGACGAGTCTGAGTGTGGATGCCCAGGAGTCGAGCCAGGCGAGGGTCTAATTTAAACTGGGGAGGCTGCAGAGGACCAAAGAACACAGGGGATGGAGCCAGTGAACTGGGTCTACTTGCAGTAATACATTTAAGCTATTCAACAAACATTAACGTAGTGCTTTCTCTGAGGCAGGAAAAATCTAGAAGAACTCAGAGATGACTAAGACTCTATCCCTGTACTAAAGTGACAACATTATTCACAACTAGACAGTCTTTTAGAGTTGGGCTGCTCATGGGACATGGCTGTGAAAGCCGGACCCCCACACCTCCACAGAATACCTGGTAATCCAGCATCAGCAGGACAGTACACCGTACATTCACATCTCCTGGCCGCTTCACCTGGAAGCCATCGGTCTCCTGGGTAGTGGCGGTCCTGTGCCACTACAGAGAGGAAGATGTCAAGGGGTGCTCTCCCAGAGGAAGAGCTGGGGTGGGAGGGAAGAGCTTCTGTAATGACTGAATATTCAACTTTGATTACTGAGGCTACTGGAGAAGAGTAATAGCATGAGGCATTTGTAAACTGCATATGGCTTTGGGATTATTGTCTGTATAAGGAGATTAACCTTTTGGGGTCACATTTAAATTAGCCTGAATTTCCAGTAATAATTTTATCCACACCATGGATAACATACATGTGAACAGTAACATAACATAGCTATCACTTACTGAGTACATACTACATGTTAGATTATTCTAAGACATTTACCTGGATTATCTCATTTAATTCCAAACACCCATGTGAGATAGGCACAATTATACCTATTTTACAGGTGAGAAAACTAATGCTTAGCAGAATGAAGTAACCTGCCTAGGTCAAATAGTCAATAAGTGGTGGAGCTGCATTTGAGCTCCGATGTCTCTGAGTCTACAGTCCACATTCGCAGCCACTATACTCTACCACTATAAAATTAAGTCAAATATATTTACAAATTTCCAATGGTTCTATAACTTACTTCCCTTATTAGATGGTAAAGACCTTCCCATGTCTCTTAGTGGTTGAGATTAAGGGGCTGCAGCTACACCGGCAAAGAAAGGAGCATGTTAAGTTCACATGGAGTGCTGGACTGTCATTCTGGTTTTGCCTGTATCCCAAAGAATACTGTTGCTAACATAGTCTCTGAAACATTGTGAAATCACGCATTATAATAATGGATATTTGGTGGTTTGGAATGTCAATCTAAATGGAGCAGAGACCAAGAGAAAGTCCCATATCCAAAATGGCAACCTTGGCAAGTACTGGTATTGTATTATTCAACCCCTTCAACTACAGCAAATGCTACCAGGAAATAATATCAATGGTGTGCAGATAACTATGTCTCTCCATTATTAACAAGATGCAGAGATGGCCTGGCATGTATCAGAGGCCTCCAGCAGAATCTCCCTTGAAAGTAGGGACAAGCTGCCCTTGACCACCATTCCTCCCATCTCTCCTCCAAAGGCCCACAGAGTCTGAGCTCAGTTCCCTCTCCGGTGTCCCCAGAGCACAGTATATGACCAATACATGGATAGTGAGTTCAAAAGAATACATATATATTTTAAAAAACAGAAAGAAAGAAAGAAAGTGGGGACAGTGACCAGCATAATAACATAAAAAAGGTGGGACAAGTTAGATTCCAAGAACTCTTGGGTCCAAACTAGACACAGCTAGTGCCACCTAGAGGTCAACATGCAAACTGCAATCGTGGCACTGGGGTGACCCTTTATTTTATATTGCTCCCTCTTCCTGAACATTAAAATTTGGCTCCCAAGTCCATCATCCTCCAGTCATAGAATCAAAGCCTAGAAGGCAGAACTACTCACTTCTACCAGATGGTTGTCTGGCCCGTACAGGTCTTTGTCCAGTTCGATCACCAAGGACTTAAAAAAGGAAGAGAACTTCCTCTTTTGTTTAGTGGCATCATATTTGGATAAGGCTGACTAGAGGAGAGAGAAAAAAAAAATGTTAGGGAAGGCCAGAAGAAACTTCCCAGGACAAAGTCTTATAGAATAGGAACAGCGGCTGGGCTTGGTGGCTCAGCCTGTAATCCCGCACCTTGGCAGGCTGTGAGTGGATTGCCTGAGCCCGTGGGTTCGAGACCCGCCTGGGCAACTTGGCGAGATCTCATCTCTACAATAAATCAAAATGAGCCGGGCGTGGTAGCGCGCGCCTGTAGTTCCAGCTATTTGGAAGGCTGAGGCGGAAGGATCGCCGGAGCCCAGCAGGTCGAGGCTGTGGTGGCCAGGAGCGGCCACTGCACTCCAGTCTGGGTGACAGAGTGAGACTCCAACTCAAAAAAAAAAGAAAAAGAAAGAAAAGGAACAGCAAAGGAAAAGAAAACAAAAAATATCTTCTGAACATCTCTCAGGAGCTGGCAAAGTAGGCATCTGTGGGTATTAAACCAGTCACAGCACAACAGTACCCCACAGACGTAGCCTGAAACACTTAAACAGGGTCATTGACTTACCCACCTCATTTGCCCAGGGGAGATGAGGCAAGTTAAAGCCAAACTGTTAAAGAGAACAAAGCGAGTTTAAACAGAGAAAAGTCTGACTCTAGAGGGGAAATGAATCACAGGCAATAAACAGCCAGAACAAAAACAACTTTATTTGGACGGAATAACACCACCAGCAGATGGACTGGACCTATATAGAGAAGAAGGAGGCTCTGACACTGAGCCCCGGCATTCCTACAAAAATGTATTCAAATTAGCTTGCCCGCGAGTCGCTAAAAATAGAGAGCCAGAGAATGTGAGGGAATGAGGAAGGTGAGCCTCCCCAAGGAGCTGCAAGGGTGGGAAGTTTGGGGGCTATCACCTGTCAGCTGATGCTCCCTTGAAACAAAGAGACTGCCAGAGAAATCTATCCTGCTTAAACTGTGGGGTGTCTCCGATCAAAGCTGGGAAGACAGAGATGCCAGAGTGGGAGTCAAGGACCTCAAGGACTCAGAGAAAACAGCCTCAAGTGCTAAGTGCAAACTCACTTGAGCTTTTTAAAAAACAAAAACTAAATAACTTGCAGATACTGCTAAATTCAATGGCCAGCAGCCCCAGGAGGAAGGTAAACGACAAATCAGATCTCAGGACAATAAGGTTCTCGATATGACAGCAGTGAAAGCCAAAGTTGTGGGAGCCGACACAAAGGATCATTGTCGTTCAGTGCAGGGAACAGAGTGTCCCTCTCCCTGCTGCTCCCAGCAGGAGCTGGGAGCACCAATCAGGCTTCCAGCTGACCAGACAACACTGTTCATTCCCAGCAGCTCCCACCCTAGATGCCAACCACGGTGGACCTTGAACTCACATCCTCCAGGAGCCGTCCTTCTACCCGAAGCTCCCAGGAAGCCACCGTCCCTTCCCCATCCTCCGCATCTGACTTAGCCGGGTTGAAAGTGTTAGAAATGAAAATTCGCAGCTTCCGTTTTTGCTGAGGAAGGCAGAAACAGGATTGATGGTGGAGCTTTAGTGGTTTGATGTTGAAGACAAGGGTCTCCCCAAACCCCCAAATTATTCCTAACAGACTGGCTACAGTCAATCCAATCCCTCGGGTGGGTGAATGAAGATTCCACTTAGAAGAGGAGTACAGGCCATTGGCCTGAGTACAAGTGCATACACCGGGATGCCAGGTGAACAGCCATGGAAGGTGCCAGGTTCCCAAGGTGGCAGGGCAGTTACAGCAAAAACGTAGACAGGGCATATTTCTGGTGCAAGAGACATCAAAAACCCCTCCCCTTTTGCTATTCTGTTCTTATGCTCCTAATGTAATTCTCAGCTTGTAGGCGGGAGAGATGCAATTTAAATGCCAAGGAGAGCTGTGCCATGCCTTTGATTTCTCATCCTAAGCCTGCTGAAGGTTCCCGAGTCCCCTCCTTTGGCTCTCTGCCTAGTACATTCCTGCATTACCTTGATGGGACGTTTCAAGGCCTCCTGGATATCTAGCCGTTTCCTCATGATAGTCTGGTCCAATTTCCTTTCAAAAGCCAAGAGATCCATATAGGCCTGGGATTCTGGTACCAGTTCACGAATCTTAGAAACAGAAAAATATAATTGGGATCTAGAGACAACCATCTCTATTTTCAAACTCTCCGCATCTTCAAGACCTACAGCCTGGACTCACCCTTTGAGGTAGAATTTTGTCAGCCATCTTCTTTTTCTTTGCACTGTTCAGAATAAATACTATTATCAGATTGGAAAAGAACTAGTCAGAGCATGAAAATAAGCTGTCAGTACCTCCATTTATAGTTAAGTGAAGGGAATGTAAAGCTTCTCTTAAATCAAAGAACCACCACCACCAGGTTTTCTCAAGGATGAGTCCTGCAGCACCATCTGCTGACACAGCACCACCCCTTCTTGGTTCAGATACTCCCAGCACCAGTATTCTCACAGGCCTCCTCCCTCCCTCCCTCTGCCCCAGGGTTCTCTTACTTGTGGTTTCGATTTTGGACCGCCTGCTGCTGGACCTGCTGGATCTGCTGAGGCGCAGGTCTCTTGCGGGACTGGTCCATCCCTGACTGGGCCAGGCCAGGTCGGACTGAAGGGTTACCCCCATAGCCAGGGGGTCCCATGGAAGGTCCCTGAGGTGTCATTCGGCTGCCTGGCAGCATACCTGGTCTCTACAGAGGGGAGAGGACCCAGAGATATCATGGTTTCCACTGCGAACCCCACCAAGAAAGGGAGAGTGGGGGATGCCTGCGTGCTCGAAGGAAACAAGGCTGCGGGGTGGGTAGAGGACAACAGGGGAGAACCCCATGCTTCTTTGAAATGTAGGTAACTGGAGACTTCCTTTGCTCTAGCAGTGATTCCATAGAGAAACAGGGTCCAAAAGCTAAGAGACAGCTTGATGACACTCAAATTCTCCCCAGTCTATTTTGGATGTGACACATTGGACATCCCTAGTTCCACATTTACTCTGCCAGCTACTATCTCCTTAAAAGCTGACCTCAATTTGCCAGCTACGCCTTCTGTGTTCCTCTGAGCCCTGGAGCTGCTCAAGCCCCTTTACATTCCAGCCCTCACATGCCCATCCCCGGCCCCACTTCACCCACCCTGGTTCTCTACCGACTCCCCTCCGAAACAATGCCCCTCGGAGCAGGTGGGGATGCTAACTGCCCTCGGAGCAGGTGGGGATGCTAACTGCCTCTCCACCCCCACCCAGAGCCCGAACCCCTCCCAAGGGAGTCCCTCCTACTTCTCCCCCCACCCCTGTCACTCCC